TTGACAACTTCAGCTATGTTGACTTATTTGTAATATTATTTTACTGTACATTTTTGCTATTTACAGTTTGTCACAATCTAATGTTGCGTTTGCAAAAAAAAGGTTAAAAATCCTCATTAGAAGGTAATAAACCCTATAAGGGGTCAATTGACAACTTCTGTTATGTTTGATTTATTCGTAGATCTTAATGTTTTTACTGTTAAAATTATAACTCTATCTGTTATAGTTCTCAAAATAATAACCAAATATTTCGAATTTGCTAAAAAAAATATTTCAAGGACGATAACTCAAAATTGGGATGTCCGATTTTTCTGAAAATCAACAATCAATATTGATACAGTAGTTTTTTGTAATGACGGAAATGTTAACAAACACTTCTTTGATTACCTACCGCAAATGATCTTTAGCCTGATACCATCCAGTTTCCAAACAGACACTGAAATATATTTGGCAGGTAGCATAGCTACATTTTCAGGTTAAAATTGTGATCTTTTAGAAAGATATATTACAGCTTTTGCCACAATGATAGTGGCTCTTTCTCGTATTTATTAACTGTTGTACTGGCATTCTATATTTGCCATTGTGAATGTATGAAATAATTCATTCGTATGATATTTCAACTTTTTTTACATAATTTAAAGGGGCACTAGTTGCGATTGAAACAAAAATTTAAAATACGATTTTTTTTTTGTTTCAAACATTTATAAAAGCGGAATATTGAAATAATTTTTCGCTAATAGCTAAGATGGGTTGCCTTACGCCCTAAGAGATTTCAGAAGCATGTGGTTCTTTCATTTAAAAGAAAAGAAAGGGAACCACAATGAAAAATCATTTCTATATTTATCATATCATTATATACAGGTAAAATGATGATTTACATTTTTTCAATGTATGAAATAAAATCAAACAGACCTCGAAAAATCGTAATTACACAACTCCACGTGCTTCTGAGTCTATTTATATTTATGTTTATGTCGGGTCGAATGACTATCGGCAGTCCTCAAAGATAATCGCGTTGGTTAATTAGATGGCGTCTAGTATTAAATGCGCACGAAATGCTGATACATAATGACGAGTCCATACATTGTTTCTTTTGGACTTTTTGTAATTTGGATTTAGCTTTTAGTACATTATGAATCGAAAATGGGAATTTAAGTCAAATCGGTGATCATGAAATTGACGGCTAATGTTCCTCTCAAGTTGTACGTTGCATGGGGTGGTCGCGATGTCTCGTTGGTCAATATTCATAAATCATGTCAGTACCGTGGCACTGACTACTGAGCTTATGATAGTCCACCTGCAGCGGTATCGACCCAGTGCCATAAAAAAAGAAATAATAAAAAATGTGTTAATTTATCATGACATTGAAAAATTTCCCATCAAAGATAAAAGGTTATAATTTTGTACGCCAGACACAAGTTTCAGTCTATAAAGACTCATCGGTGATGTTCAAATAAAAAAAAGTTAAAAGACCAAATCAAGTACAAATTTGAAGAGCATGGAACAGATTGACCTTTAAAGTTGTGCACGGGTATTTACGATTTGAATGCTTTATAATGGGGAATATTGCCTACATTAATACCATCAAAAACCTTGGTTCTCACAAGGAAGTTCAGACAGGAGAGTTTCTCTGTGTAATCTTTTTCAGGTCTGAAGTCTGTGATCGACAATATCCTAGAAGATATCAAGTTTGTTTTGATTTGAATAAGGATTTGTAGTAGAGTGTTTTCCAAACATAAATTGTACAAAGAATCGAGTTTCGAAAGCAGTCTATGAATATAATTTCTTTCAAAAATGATAAATACTAAACAGCTCCAGTAGACAGAAGGTCATTTACAGAAACACCGTGAAGTGTTAGTGATGTATAATGATGATGACTTGGTTAAATAGTAAATAATCATGTCACTACCACAGGCCTCCTCTGAATATTTGAAGGTCCCCACTATGTATTGGTTACCTTAACTACACAAAAAATCGTTACATCTCGACCTGTAGTAATTGTTCTACTACTAATATGTCAGTGCTTCTAACTACTTCCTTAACTACAATCAAATAACTTATCGTTAACTTTTGTAATAAACATATGAAAATAATGAAATTAACTATTTTTGGAGTGAAAGATTCTTTAGATGTTTTAGATAAATTACGCGCGCTTTTGATGGTCCTTTTGATTCGGTTGACAGTTTTGACTATTCACACAATCTTATCAAACAAGTTTTCCTATTTAATTAAATTTATTTACTGCAACTCCTATAAAGCCCTTTATAGAAAAAGGTAAATATGCTAGATATACTTACTAGATGTGTGATGAGACGGTTAAAGCTATAAAAAATGCTCCTTGACAATAATTATCAATAGTATGTACGTTTCGGTAATAAAGTTTATCGATAGGTTGTATGTACCCGGTATTCCTAATTGTTCCCCTTTAACAGCAGATTTGTTCCTTTACTGTTATGAATCACAGTTTATGGTCAAACTCAGTAAAAACCCGTCTAAATTCCATTTAATTGATAAATTCAACAACAGTTACCGTTATCTTAAATAATTAAGAATTCTCTAAATATACTGCCGACATTTTCCTTAAGGAACTTACTTTAAATGAATCAAATATTGACAGCAATAACTGCCCTTTCCTAGATTTAGATATTTAAGTTTTACACGAGAAACTCTACACAAAAATTAAAGACAAAGGGAACAATTTTCTTTCCCTTCTGTTAATTTTCTTTTTTTGGGCGGTGATGTTCCTTTGGTACCGTTTAAGGTGTTAATATCTCCCAATTCGTTCGCTATGCCCGTGTCTGTAGTGACGTTTTGGATTTCAATGAGCGTAATCTCTGTATTACTGAAAAACTATTTAGTCAGGGATTTCGTTACAACAAATTACCTAAAACCTTTTCTAAATGGAAAATATCTCCCTCATGCACAGCTCTGATTCCTTGACCGGATTTGTATATACTTTAGGTCCTTTTTGGTTTGATCCGCTCTTAAACATTTGTATTAGATTTTAGAAACTCCAATAGTTTGGCCTTGACCATTACCGAAGAGACATTACTTGTCGAAATGCGCATCTTGTGCATTAAAATTGATACCATTTATGTTATTCTTTCATAAATACAAAGATTTGGTTTCAAAGTTTGGCTGTACCCGTAGAAAACTTATTTCAAATGGAATAGCACATCCTAATTTTTACGGTGATGTTGTTTACCAAGCCCAGAAATTTAGGTACGAACCAGGTAAATTTATTAATCTTTTAAATAAATTTATTCTAGAAGGTTACCAATTCAAAACTGTAATTAACACTTTGAATATTGTTTTTATTGGTATAAATATTGATTTTGTTATCAGTAAACTAAAACTACACTAAATATTATTGTTATAAACATATGCACATTCACAGTTCTACAATCTGTCGATATCTTTATTTTGGCATTGCACATTGAAATGCCAAAATGTTTTTTTTCTGAATGTTAATGACGTCTTTACACTAAATCGATTGGCTGTTGGATGTGTCCTGATTCATATTTTAGTCTTAGATACATGATTTTTTTATTAGCTGTTTTTGGCTTTGAACTAGCCGTCAGTAACTGAGAGTACTCTCAGATCTATACCGTGTGTCTTTTTTGTTGTGAGGGATCCCTTGCCATGTCCTGTCTGTGTTTTTGTTTGATGTTTTTCTGCTTTGTATTGATCTGATGAGTTATAACCCCGCTACATTCTATATGTGTCTGTCCCAAGTCAGGAGCCAGTATTTCAGTGGTTGCCGTTGGTTCATGTCAGTCATATTTGTTTTTCTTAAATTGTTTTGTTATAAACTTGTTTTCTCAATTGAATTGTTTCATATATTTCATGTAGGGGCATTTCATAGCCCACTATATGGTATAGGTTTTCTCATTATTGAAGGCCGTATGGTTGCCTATAATTGCTTATATCTACTTCATTTGAACTTTGGTGGATAGTTGTCTCATTGGCTATCATACCACATCTCCTTATTTTTATGTTAAGTCAATTTAAAGAGAAGTCTTCTGTAGCATTTAGCAATATAAAAAAAAATTGACAAATATGTTAGTGCAATGTAGAGCAATGTACATGTGCAACATTTTGGTAATTTTTACAGGTGTTATTGTGTGATTCTCTTTTCAACTCAGTGTTAAATATGGCATCCTGCAAGTTAGGCTATTATTTGCAAAACAAATTATGTAATCATGTCATTTAAGGTCAAGGAACAGTAAATGGGCTATGTCACAGATTTTGCTAAAATTTTGCATACAACATTGGCTCGTTGAACTATAATTGAAAATTTTTCCTAAAAAACAATATATGTTGTTGATACATAAATTTCCGTTTTAATGATTTAAAAAAATCATATGGTCACCGACTTCGTTCTTTGTCTTATAATCAATCTGTTACCTAGTTGGTAGTGAAAAACCTCAAAAATTAACATTTAACGGCCTGCAACGCGATGACGTTACGATTATTTCGACGTTTTGGGTATTTTTTCAGCTATAACACCACTTTGAATGATGTATACTGTAAAAATGAAGTTGGTGACCCTATCATTACTTTACATCATTAAAACAGAAATTTAAACATCAACAACATATAGTAGAAAAATCTATGTATTAGAAATTAGAGATTTGATGATTTTAAGACAAATCTAAGACAGTCTTTCGCCAATTTTATGTGCTTTCTATACAAATGTACAAACCTATTTTGAAAGAATTCAATCAGTAATATTTTAGATGATAAATGAGATAAATGGATTATTTTTTCGATTTTCAGATAAAGTTCAATGAGCCAAAGTAGCCCATTTACTGTAACTTGACCTTGAATCCATGAATCATTTTGTTTTTTTACCTTAATTTGATAATGTTCTTTTGGTTCATAGTGAGAACTTTATAAAACAATACATGTTAACAATTAATAAGCTGTTTTCATGCTTGCTGCCTTAACCATTCAGAGGGATTAGAACTTTTCTATCATGTAACATAGACAATCAAACATGTAGGACAATTTCTATTTTATTCAAATTTCATATTTTATATAAAAGCTTCAATAACAACAAATATAAATAAATTTGAAATAAACGAGTAAAATAATATCTACATAAGAGCAGCAACTGTTGGGAAGTTGTGTTAACATATATCTTATCTTATTTCTGTAAATGTGTTCAAGGAAAATTATGACAATTTCTTTAGGTATTTCAAGTGGTCTACAAATTGTAGTCATGTTTATGGTCAAAGGTCAGTACTAACTTTATCAAAAGTTGCAAGCTTTAATACAGATATTTTTTCATGTAGTTGGCTAACGTTTTTCTAGAGAACTGTATTTTTTTATTTATCTAATTAAAAAAAAAATCATATTTAAATCAATAGGTAACAAAAATGATCTAATTTATATTAGATTGTAATGTAAATTTACCTATTTTGCTATGCACCTAGAAATTGACCAAAATACTTCCTTTATTTTCTAAATAAAAACTACCTCCTCAAATATTCATAGTATTTTGTTGTCAAGCATTCTATTTAAAATTAATTTGGAAAACTATTACTTTAAAATTTCGAAATTACACAATAAAAAAAAAAACTTGAAATATATGTGTTTTTTGTTGTTGCTTAGATTAATATAATTAACAAACCAAGAATTGATCAAAGTAAATGTATATGAAAATAACTGTTCTCTAATTTATTAATTATGTAAATATGAATATTAATTTTCTAATAATTTCATCAAAACTGCTCATTCTACTTTTAACATTCTATACATCATGTACAAATTTTAATGATATAAAATATTTAATTTGTTTTTCATTCACTTATAGATATTGTAACAGAAGAAAATGACAACAGTTTATGATCCTGCGACTATGGTGACTGAATGTCTATTTCAATATAAATGTAAAGTTTTAAGGTAAAATTCATATAATTAATATAACACATAATGGCTTCGTGAAAATGTGTGTCTCATCTACATCATGTACATAGTATACAATTTACAACTATTTATAATATCAGTATAGATTTTTAAACAGGTCTAAAAAGCAGGTATGATTTTTCCTACATATAATTTTCTTGTTGCGATGTTACCTTTCAGCACTATAGTTAATAGTTTTAAAAAGTATATTGATAACTAAGATTTTTATACATGGAATCTTCAAAATCTATGCATAGACAAAGCTGTTGGTGATGCTGTTAACCAAAATACAAACAAGTACATGTATAAAGGTAAATAAAAACACTCAGTTATCTGTTATCAATGAAAAAGTGAACTTATTGCTAAATCTGTTTTAAACCTAGTTGTTGTTGGACTATATATAAATAATCTTTAGTTCAAGTGAAACAATATATATTTGATAAAGTAATTCAACTTCCAAAAATCAAGGGCACATCAACTGATATCTAGTTTTTGGAATATGGAAAAAAGACCCCCCAAAAAATCACTTAAAAGTAGCAATTTTTTTGTCCAATGAAAAGCATTATTCAAGTAGAATCAAAATAAGATGAGAGATTTATAATTGTTTTAGATTGTAAAAAGCAATTTTTGTTGAAATATTTCAAAATTAATCCATCATTATGCATCCCCTCTAAAAAATGTTATATCGCAGGCATAACAAAAAGTGTCTTGAAACTTAAGCCATTGAAGCAAGGAAGTACATAAACTAAAGAGATCTTAATACATATAACAAAAATAATTAAAAATATACACTAGAAATCATAAACGGCCAGTGTTTTTATTCCTGGCAGCAAATTCACTAGATAGTTTATTAAAAAGAAATTTAGCAAGTCTTAAAATAGCAGCATGTATGGCATACTGTAACAAAAGTGCTCCGAAACCTTTGTAAAGTCCAGAAAGTCCTTCTTCTAATATAATATCTCTGAAGCAATCAATTATCCCTTGGTAACTGGTATTGATAGGTATAACAGACACTCCGGTATCAGTATTGTCAATGATTGTTCTGGTTCCCTGCAGATAAAGTCGGTGTAATACTGTCTCAAGTGGAAAAAACATCATGTCTGCTAGAAATCCTCCAGTAAAATTTGCTAACATTTCAGGAAAATGTATGTCATACATGGACTTTGTCTGAAAGTACCCTTCTTCTGAAATTGCGGCTTGCTGTAAAAAAAGAGGTATCAATGAAAATTCAGAAAAGAAGAAACCAAACAAATGTGTTTTGTTATAGATGAATTATTGCTGAGGTCAGGTGGCGGTAAGGGGAAAGATAAAAATAAATGAAGAAAAATATACAATATACAAATAAATTACTGACTCTTGACCTGCTTTTTTAAATAATAACTGCTAACTAATACTAGTGACGACTGCCGACCTGTTTACCTTTTGAACACAAGACAAATACTTTTCTTTTTCAATAACTGTCGACCTGCTAACCTTTTTGCCAACATATAAGAGCTATTATACTGACTTAAAAACTTTTTAATGTCGACTGCCAACCTGTCTTTTAATATATAAGAGCTATTAAATTGACTACCATACATAAAAGGGGCATTAGCTACGAGATATAAAAAAATCTAAATATTATTTTTTTTTGTTCAATCATTAATGAAAGTGAAAAAGTGAAATAATAATTCACTTTTAGCAGTAAGTTTGGTTCAATTTTGTCAAAAAAAGCTAAGAAACTACGCTGCTGAATTATTCACTTGCAAGTGAATAATTTGACCTCATTGTAGTCATTGAATCGGCATTCATGTGACCTTCAATTTAATCCCTTAGCTAGAGATGGGTTACGAATAACCTGTGTTAGGCCTAAATTAATATACTGTTTGTTTCCCAAATCCCGACCCTGCCAAGCCAGGTGTGGGTAGGTAGGTAGGGAAATAATTTTATTTTTCCAAAAAGCTGGAACAATATTGGTTGATCCAGCAAGCCTGAAAATCAGAAATGAATAAAACTAGAGGCTCTCAAGAGCCTGTGTCGCTAACCTGTACTTACTAATGCTTTGGAAATCTTGTAAAATAAGGTTAAAATCATAATTAATAGTATTAGATATTAGATATTATAATGATATCTAAGATGATAACAAAAAACCTCAAAATTTTTGTAAAAAAAACTAACTCAGGGGCAGCAACCCAACAACGGGTTGTCGGATTTGTCTGAAAATTTCAGGGCAGATAAATCTACATCTGATAAACATTTTTGCTACCTGTCAGATTTGCTCTAAATGCTTTAGTTTCAGAGATATAAACCACAAACTGCATTTTACCCCTATGTTCTATTTTTAACCATGTCGGCCATGATGGTTGGAAGGCGGGGTCATCGGACAAATATTTTAATTTAAATACCCTAATAATGATTATGGCCAAGTATGGTTAAATTTGTCTCAGTAGTTTCAGAGAAGAAGATTTTTGTAAAAGATTACAAAAATTTACAAAAAATTGTTAAAAATTGACTATTAAGGGCAATAACTCCTTAAGGGGTCGACTGACAATTTTGGTCATGACAACTTATTTGTAGATCTTACTTTGCTGAACATTATTGCTGTTTACAGTTTATCTCTATCTATAATAATATTCAAGATAATAACCAAAAGCTGTAAAATTTCCTTAAAATTACAAATTCAGGGGCAGCAACCCAACAACAGGTTGTCAGATTTGTCTGGAAATTTCAAGGCAGATAGATCTTGACCTGATAATCAGTTTTACCCTTTGTCAGATTTACTCTAAATGCTTTGGTTTCAGAGATATAAGCCAAAATCTACATTTTACCCCTATGTTCTATTTTTAGCCATGGCAGCCATCTTGGTTGGTTGGCGGGGTCATCGGACACATTTTTTAAACTAGATACCCTAATGATGATTGTGGCCAAGTTTGGTTAAATTTGGCCCAGTGGTTTCAGAGGAGAAGATTTTTGTAAAAAGCTGACGACGACAGACGCCAAGTGATGAGAAAAGCTCACTTGGCCCTTCGGGCCAGGTGAGCTAATAATATTTGACTTGCTTTTGACAATAAAATTTTGTGAGTCAGACCATTTTTGCAGGGTCGGTCGGGATTGGGGAAACAAACAATATTTTATTTTAGGCCTTAGTTTAGCTATTAAAAGGAAAAGAATGTCAACATTGAAAGTGAAACAAGGGTACACCATTTGGTTGACTGATTCAATCCACAAAAAACTCATTCTTGTACAGTTAAAAACGGTTGTCAACATATTTTTTAACCTATAATATGAAATGAAACAGACCTAGAAAAATCTAATTGCATGTGTTCACTATCTATTTATATCTATATTTATGATTATATTGGGTTATATGACAGTCGGCAGTCTACAGAGGTCACCTCGATGGTTAATTAGAGAGCGTCTAGACTAAAACACACACAAAATGCTGATACATATTATCAGATCCATGCATCATCAATTTGTTTATTTTATACGTTTTATAGTTTGGATATACGTTTTATTAAGTTATAAATCAAATATATGAATTTGAGTCAATTTAGTGAACAAACAAATTTGACAGCTAATGGCCCTTTAAATACAGACTTGTCTACACATTTATTTTCAGTTTTTTGTGAGTACGATGCAGTGCGGTAAATCCGCCCACATAAGGCTTTGATTGTATGTATTTCTGCTTAATTATAAACAAATTGTATCAAATTTAATATAAATCGATTCACTGACAAATCAACTTTGAGTTGTATATCTCATTTCCAAAATAAATGGAGAATGTGTCCCAATGGACACAGATGATGTCCCCATTTGCATACAACATTATAAAGGGATATAATTCAAGAACGATAAAAGTGACGCTACCCAAATTTGTACTTGATCTGAGTTTTAAGGTAATAAGTATTGTGTATAGGGTTCATAATGTTTGGTTGGGGCAAACTTAAGTTACAGAACGGAAACTAAAAATTTTGCAATTTTTCTATTTATAAAGGGGCATAACTTGATAATGATTAAAGTGACGCTAACAAAATTCAACTTGATCTGTGTTTTGTGGTAAAAAGCATTGTGTATAAGTTTCATAACATTTGGTTGAGGCAACTTAAGTAAGAGAACAGAAACAAAAAAATTTGCATTTTTTTTCATTTATTAAGGGGCATAACTCGAGAATGGTTAAAGTGACCCCACCAAAATTCAAACTTGATCTTTATTTTGTGGTAATAAGCATTGTGTATATGTTTCAAAAAATTTGGTTGAGGCAAACTTAAGTTAGAGAACGGAAACTAAAAATTTTGCAATTTTTCCATTTATGAAGGGGCATAACTCTAGAACAGTTGGAGTGATGTTTTCAAAATTCAAACTTGATCTGTATTTGGTGGTAATAAGCATTGTGTATAAGTTTCATAACATTTGGTTGAGGCAAACTTAGTTAAAGAACGGAAACTAAAAATTTTGTAATTTTTCCATTTATTAAGGGGCATTACTCTAGAACAGTTAGAGTGATTCTACCAAAATTTAAACTTGATCTGTATTTGGTGGTAATAAGCATTGTGTATAAGTTTCACAACATTTGGTTGAGGCAAACTTAAGTTATAGAATGGAAACTAAAAAAAAATTTGTAATTTTTCCATTTATAAAGGGCATTACTCTAGAACGGTTAGAGTCACCCTACCAAAATTCAAACTTGATCTGTATTTGATGGTAATAAGCATTGTGTATAAGTTTCATAACATTTGGTTGAGGCAAACCTAAGTTAGAGAAAGGAAACTAAATTTTGTAATTTTTCCATTTATAAAGGTGCATAACTCTAGAACGGTTAAAGTGATGCTACCAAAATTCAAACTTGATCTGTGTTTTGTGGAAATTAGTATTGTGTATAAGTTACATAACATTTGATTGAGGCAAACTCAAGTTAGAGAACAGAAACCAATTTTGGGACATACGGATGTACGTACGTACAGACGGACAAGGGTAAAACTTAATTTCCCTTCGCTACAGCGGGGGCATAAAAATACCTGAAATAAATATTAAAATCAACAAAACAAGTGGGTCATCAGTGTTTTTATCGGAAATGTGTTTGTCCGGTAAATCCGCCCATGTGCAGTTAATATGTATGGAGGGCCAGTTTATCACAAATTTATGAAGGGAAAGGTGATCTATTTACATTGATTTATTAATAGACCACTTATAAAAAATTCCAGATAATCCAAAAAAAAATTTCAAGTCAGAAATGAGTTTTGTAAGCAATAATATGATTATCGTTAGCTTTAGAAACTGTATTTTATATATATATTTTCGTAATAAAGGATTTTTCTTTAAAATTTGACATGCAGTGATAAGTACAGTTCCTATGAATAAAAAAGCAGACAAAATACTCCCGGAAGTGACAATTACGGAAGAAATGGGAGTGGGTGGGTTTACCGGACGGGTGGAATTACCGGACACTACTGTATGATTAAAAAAAAAAATTGAGTGTATGATGTTTAAATCATATAGAGCTATTTGTGACATTTGTCCCTATATCCTCATGATCCTTCTTGAACTGAGGGTTTCCCCCAAGACTATATACAACAAACTTCAGAAAGCAAGAGGTATAATTATTAATAACAACAATAATTAGCTATCAGACATTTTAATTTACTATTGTCTCAATATAACTGAAATGAGTTTTTATATGACAAATTGATTGATTGATTATGCTTAAGGTGGTACATAACACTACAGGGAGATAAGTCTGTAAAAATCAGATGAACGTTTTAATCACTTTTTGTTGTTAAGGAAATATTAAGCTTCTCAATGATCAAAATTAGTGTTTGTCAAACTGCTATATATCCAATGAAATTTTTCAGATAAAGTGATTGGTTCAAGTTTTTTGAAATTTTTATATCTTTGTCAAAGGGTCAAAATAAATATTTTGTCAAAACTTTATGAAAATTAAACCAACCAAATTAATTTTAGTTAAGGTGTTCGGGACCACCTTAACATCCAGTGGGGAAATTTTCATACATAATCAGGATGAATTTGAATAATAAAAGGAATTTATCTGCAATTTGTACATTTTCCCTTTGATCTTACTGCCTTATAAATATTATTCAGATCAAGGACAGGACTTGATACTTGAAAATATTAGGCAATAACATCCCACAACAGTGCAGCAACATCATGCATTCATATCCTTCTCACCAATTTAACCAATGAAATGCAGGCAACTTCATTCGTTCATTTATAACTACGTTTTGTTATCTTGCTGATAAAGTCAGTATCAAAAACAAAAATATCATTATTCTATATATATTAAATTACTTATTGATGTGGTATACTTAAGTTTGTCCATAGACATCATAATTCTAGGTTTAAAAAACACACATGGGACTCAAAATAGAGTAAGAGGGAATCTTGTTTACTCTATATGGGGTAAACCTGAACAATTTAAAAAGGTAAACATCATCATACAGATGCAAGATTTAATGACAAATAGAAAATGATACAACTGTGACATTATGACTAATTTCTATTACATCTGTACATCTCTCTTTAACCTTTTTTCTCACTGTGAAATCTTTCTATGTGGAAAGCTGTGAACAAAGCTATGATAACTTACACTTCTAACCAAGCTGTAGTAAACCCTACCAAGGTTGAGTGTACGAAAGCTGATCAATATAACAGTCATAGGTACGTGCAAGAGAATCTTGACATTCACCAAAGTGATTAAAAAGAAAAGTTATGAAATCATTTTACGTGATGGACTTGAACAAAGGTGTAAAAAATAACACTTCTGAACCAAAGAGCAACCAAGGCTTCTCAAACTTGAGGATTTCATGGCTGATAGAAGGGACAATCACTTATAAAAACCTTGACACTCACAAAATAAATAAACAAGGGGCTGCATGTGTCATGTGATGTCATGAAAACTATACCCTACACTCAAAATAAGAAATCTATGCTCAGTAGATATGATAAAAATTCTAAGTATCGAAAAAAAGGAAGTTACCATCAGGCTGATCTGCAAATCAACATTATAAAGTTCCAGATCAAATATCAAACTGTTCCTTACTACAGAAGGTGAGATATATGTAATAGAAAATTAATGCTCAGGTGTGAATAATAAAAAATTCAAAGTTTTGTTAAGCAGGAACTGACAGCCTAGCAGTTCTAACAATTTCTAACGAATACAATCAACTCAATCTTAAAAAATTCAAGATCAATCTTTAAATAATTCCTGTAGTCAGGAGCAGATTAATTTGCAACAAAAATGCCAATGGTAAAACAACTGTATACAAAATATTGTTGACCTACCACTAAGGGTTTCCCTTAAATTGACCTTATCACGAACTTTAACATGTAAACTAAGCAAAATTTTCAAAGTCAATAGACCATGACTGATGAGGGAGGCAAATAATCTCCATGGAAATAAGATGTGCCAAAGCTAATACAACTGCACACCAAATATCATTGAAATACAAGTAGGGGTTTCTCTTTAATCCACCTAGTCACAAATAAATTGTTGACACCACTGCTGTCCCCGCTTGAAACAGCACACCTAAGTCTAGCTTCTTTCGACTTCATCAAGGTGAGAAAAACATTTATTAACAGACAATCCTAGGTCTTAATATTCAGAGTAATTTACAGTTCTAAGCATTACAAATTTGACTGAAATTAACAGATTTTTAACAAAATCTTTTGAGTCTATCAGTCTTCTCAGAGAAACTTTATATATGACCACATTGTCTTGGCACCAGTAATTTGAAATAATGATTTTTTTTTCCATAAAATAAATCATCCATTAAAAGATTAGACTTTTTTATATAAATTATAGGTTATCTCAGTTATTGCATTTTTATGTATTGCCTTCTGAATTCATTTTTATTCATGTTTGTGTAAAAATAATATCCCTTTGAATTCGCAATTGATTTATTTAAGCTTCTTAATTTCAAAGTGTTAATCATTGTTTTATATTAAGTCAGTTTTGTTGTTATTTTCCCCCAAACTTATCTTGTCTAGATGTACATATCCAGCTAATGACTTAGTAATCTGTCAAATGTATATATGCAACTGATTTCTCAAAAGAAGAATTCAATAAATACTATGCAATTACAAACATGCTTGATATACACACCTCATTTCTAATTTAAAGATTTCAGCAGTAAATTTGTTACTTTTCATCCCAAAAATGCTTTCCATGCTATTGTTTTGAAAAAAATGCAGTTTTGTTTTAAGGACCAAATATAGTTTTCTTTACAAGGACCATATGCCACAAGGGAGACAACACCTACTCAAATGTGAATTTGTTGTCCATGATCAATGATTCTGTCATATTTTCAAAATTAGTATTACCAGCATATCATTTCTTCTTCCTTTAACCTTGCGAATATTTTTTCTGTCAACCATATTTTTTCTTTCTTCTCTTTGAAAGTCAGTGATTGTGAAAATGGCTTGAATCATCAATCAATTACAAAATCGTCCTGAACATGCATGAAATATTTGCCCCTGGATGTTCAGCAACCAACAATTAATCAATCAATTACAAAACATTACAATATAGTATTACGCATGATACTGACCCTTTTTTCCTGTTCCTCTTGCTGTATAGTTGTTATAACTGTATATCTCGCCATTTGCATGATGATGTAACGAGACAGTCCCACTAATCCTGTTGGTAGGAGTAACTTCCAAATGGGTATTAACTTTGTAAACTGTGTTGAGCCCATCCCCATCAGTCTAGTAACACCTTCCGTCACACAATTAAATACTCCTGGTCTTTCACTTGATACATCTGACTGAAATATAGATATCAAATTCAAACATACTAAGAATTCAATTATTTTCGTGGATACAAATGTTCGTGGATGGAAGGGAAACTTAGATTTTTGTGGATATTTGATTTCACGGATTTGCAAAAGTCTGTATAGAAACCTTTCGAAAATAAGTATTTCGTTGAACATTTAAATTCATGGTTATGAATAATAATGAATTTGCAGTACTGAATTTTCAAATCATTTTAATATACAAGTATCTATATTCATGTTTCTTATTCTTTGAAAAAATATACCTATCCTGAATGTTTGTTAACTTGTCTTATGATGTGGTTAGCACTTTTGTCAAATATATATTTAATGGCAATTTTTTTTCTTCTTATTCAATTTCTGTTACCATGTCATGCATGTTTGTCTCTCATCAGAGAACAATTTGAAGGTTTGACAAAATATCAACCATAAATCATTAGTGAAACAGATTGTACCATTGTTTTTAAATTTGTTTTAAAAGTCTTGATATAAATATTCAAATATCTACAATACATAACAAACTAAACGCTTTAAAATTGATGTTAAAGATAATGTGAAAAAAATTATGAAAAATATTTAAGGAATGACTGCAATATTTTTTCTGTCTATGAAGAAATAACATCAAAAATGTGGTGCACACTGAATAACCCTCGTAGCTATTTCGAATAGACAGAAAAAATATTACAGTCATTTCTTATAATTTAATTCTAAATTCCATTTTTAACCGGAGTAAACCATGAAAAACATTGATGACGTTACGGTCACATGACAAAATTATGTCTATGAGCTGATAAACAATACAACGTCAGCCAATCAGAAGACGCGTTACATCCAAAATTAAATTATATATGTATAAAATTGTAAGTTCTTAAACTGAACAGCCTTTTCATGTCACATTTTATTGATTGATTGATGGGTGTTTAATCCAACTTTCATCACTATTTTCTATATTGTGGCAGCCAGTTTTTTTGGTGGAGAAAGCACAAGTGGCCAGAGCAAAGCATAATTAATATCTAATTTACTATTGCAAACAAAGTAGTATAGTTTGAATGATAAGTCCACATTAGACAAAGTGCTTGATACTTTTACAGTATGAGTAAGGACTAATTAAATCTGAATTTAAAAAACAACAGTTTTACACAACAATGAAGAATATCTGAAAGGTGCCAACCAATTGGTTTAAATAATATTTCTAGAGTTAATTTTTATTTACGGGAAATTAACTCACTACACCCACCTGTAAAAAACTATTATCAAGGAACATCACTTTATGACTATTTTTAAATCTTCTTTAGTCTAATTTCTGTCATATTTTGCACAAACTAAACTGAAATATGTTAATGCAGTTAATGAAATAGGTATAATACAATGACTGGACTTTGATAGGCCAAACTATTCTTCTGTCATGACTGTCCATACACATCCTGTATATCAACATGGTGTGTGGGAATACAGGGCATCTGTCAGTTCTCTTAAGAGTACAATTCTTGCCAGATATTTATAAATTAATATCAACGGTTTTTATTAGCAAAGTCTGGGACAAGTTAAAAAATTAGACAGGATATAAACATCTTTAAAGTAGATATTCCCCTTGGAATTAAAAATAATATACATGTACCAGCTTTGACAAATACAATATCTTGTCTGCAATTGGTTTTTAAAAATTTAAATCACATGTGGGTTAAAATGTCTTTCTAAATTAATGTAAAAAATTAGGAAAGTAGACTCAAAAGATAGCAGAAAATCAAAGAATCTTTTAACAGCTGAAGCTTTAATGGTTTGAGAGATTGGCCAAAGGTATGGTTTGATATCATTAGGCTTCAAACCTATCTCTATGATAGAAAAAGTCTGTATGAGTTGACTTGAATTGAAATACTCATCATCTTATTTATAATTTTCTATTTTAAAACTTTAATATTACAGAGTGACACATGGAAAACTTACCTGAACTGTCTCCACAAGACTAGATACTAAAAATGGAGTAGTTACTACAAAGGCTAAACTGAAACAGAAATAAACAATCTACAATGTGTATTATTCTATGTAAAGGGGAACAACTCAATGTTCTAACAGGCTTCATTATATCAACAAACTGAGTGTGTATAAGAATGCAACAAATATAAAACATCACCGTAGGCTTTACGTTCTTAAAAAAGACATTAGAGAGAGATCATTTTGCCCTCACCCTCATTGTTTAAAAGAAGTTGAGAATCTAGAAATGTTTTTATAATGGCCTTATTATGATAATATGACTGTGAACGACAAAATTAATCCAATTATATTTCTTTGAACTCAAGCGACTTTGTTACTTCACATGTCTTTCTGATTATGTGTAGTTTTAGGCATTCCCCTTCCACATTTTTCATTTTTCAGGGCCATTCTGATTGCATTATATTTTTTAATTCAACAACCCTGACCCCATTCTATATAAACTAACAAAATAAACATTATGGGGTATACAGAAAAGAGAATAATGAGCAATAAAATGCTCCGCTGGGCACAGCTTAATACGACCGCAGAGGTCAAACCCTGAACAGTTGGGGCAAGTATGGACACAACATTCAAGTTTTGATACAGCTCTGAATTTGGACTGTGATTAAATATTTGACACATCAGAGGTTTCTGACACAGAATGAATGTGGTCTAAGAACTTAAAAAATTTTAATTTACCTATTATGGTCCAATATCCAAAATCTAAATACATACACGGTTAGATTCAGCATATCAAAGAACCCCAAGAATTCAATTTTTGTTAAAATCAAACTAAGTTTAATTTTGGACCCTTTGGACCTTAATGTAGACCAATTTGAAAACAGGAACAAAAATTAAAAATCTAAATACACAGTTAGATTCAGAATATCAAAGAACCCGAATATTTCAATTTTTGATGAAATCAAACCATATCATTATTATTTGCTTTTATATATAAATAAAAAATAACCAACTTAAAATGGAAAATTTTAAAGATAAAAAAAAGGAAAAAAAAATCCCCCCCCCCAATTTTTTGAACCCCCTTATGATCCATCACCCCCAAACTCAATCCCAGCCTTCCCTTTGTGGTATGGTACCTTGCAGTACAATTTCAGAGAGATCCATACACTTGAACACAAGTTATTGTCTGGAAACTGTAAAAATGCTTGTTTTTTGGTCCCTTTTTGGCCCCAAATTCCTAAACGTTTAGGGCAAATACCCCCAAACTCAAACCCAGCTTTCCCTTTGTGATATGGAACCTTGTAGTACAATTTCATAAAGAACATACACTTACACACAAGTTATTGTCCTACACACAAGTTATTGTCCTGAAACTAGAAAAATGCTTGTTTTTTGCCCCTTTTTGGCACCTAATTCCTACAATTTTGAGGCAATTACCCCAAAAAATCAATCCCAGCCTTCCCTTTGTGGTAAGGTACCTTGCAGTACAATTTCAGAGAGATCCATACACTTGAACACAAGTTATTGTCTGGAAACTAGAAAAATGCTTATTTTTGGCCCCTTATTCCTAACCGTTTTGGGCAATTACCCCAAACTCAATTCAAGCTTTCCCTTTGTGATACGGAACCTTGTAGTACAATTTCAGAAAGATCCATACACTGACATACAAGTTATTGTCATGATACTAGAAAAATGCTTGTTTTTTGCTCCTTTTTTGGCACCTAATTCCTAAAATGTTTAGGGAAATTACCCCCAAAATCAATCCCAGCATTCCCTTTGTGATATGGAACCTTGTGGTACAATGTCAGAGAGATCCATACACTAACACACAAGTTATTGTCTGGAAGTTACAAAAATTATTTTTGGCCCCTTTTTGGCCCCTTATTCCTTAACTGTTGGTACCATAACCCCCTAAATCAATCCCAACCTTCCTTTTGTGGTATTGAACCTTATGGTAAAATTTCATAGAGATCCATTCACTTAAACAAAAGTTATTGTGCGAAAACCAATGTGTCTTTGGACGACGAAGACGCCGGACGATGAAGACGACGCCAACGTCATACCAATAAATTTTTGTAATTGTATTAAAAGTGCTGAATAAATGACTAAAAAGTGCAAAATAAATGACTAAAAAATTAATAGAGAAAAATAGGCAAATAAAATAAAAGAAAGAGAATAATTGGGTGTTAAAATATAAAGAATAGAGAATAATGGGCAAAATTTCAAAAGAATAGAGAAATATGGGCAAAATTTCACAAGAATGGAGAATAATGGGCAAAATTTAAACTAAGTGGAAAAAAATGGCTAAAAAATTAAAGAATACAGAATTGAAGGACCCCACCCACCCAGATCCTAATACATTATAACACAAGTATGAAACTTATAACTAATTTGTATATTTACCCTTTAAGAAGTAAATGTTGCATATGTTTCTTTACAGTATGGTGTCTGCTTATTTCTCTGTAAAAAAAAAATAAATCTAGACTTCTACATTTATACTATGGATTCTTGTATTTCTTTTTGTTTTCAGATTTCTTACTTTTTCTGTTGCGCAATACTGAGTAAATCAGTTTTACGTGGCCTTCGAGACTTCACGCACCATACTTGTTCGACAACTTTATTACATTTAGATTGTAATATTATGCATTGTATAATTACTAATTCTTTGTATTTTCTTTTTGTAGATATTAGTATGAACAGTGAGATGTACAATATGATGTATAATGTATGGACTTTTTCGTTTAATTTATTTTGAAAATGTTTTGTTTCTACAAATTAAAACTGTTTGGTGTGTATCTCCTGCCATATTTGTCTTTGTTGCTTTATTATATAGAATCAGAAATAATTTATGTTAGGACGAGCATAGCGAGGTAGAACATAAATTTATTTTCATTGGTACCAATTTAAGGAAAACTTACATTTTTGTGGATATTCAATTTTCTGGTTTTGCGAGAGTCTGCATACAAGCCTATAGATAATTTGTAATTCACTGACCATTCAAATTAGTTGTTAACCTGTACCCATGAAATCCACAAATAAAATGCTCTGTGGGCAAGGAGCTTGATACGACTGCAGAGGTAGAACCATTAACAGTTGGGTCAAGTATGGACACTACATTCAAACTTGATACAGATCTGAATTTGGATTGTGATTAAATATTTGACACATCATCATGATCATAGGATTCTGACAAAGAATAAGTGTGGTTAAAGAACTGAAAAGTTTAAAATTGGACTTTTACCTATTATGGTCCAATATCCAAAGTCTAAATACACGGTTAGATTCAGCATATTATAGAACCCCAAGAAGTTTAAATTGGACCCTTTAGACCACAGTGTGGACCAATTTGATAACAGGCCCCACAATCAAAATACAAGGTTAGATTCAACTTATCAAAGAACCCCATATATTCAATTTTTGTTGAAATCAAACAAAGTTTAATTTTGGACCCCGATTTAGACAGATTCAGCATATACAAGTACACCAAGGATTTGATTAATTTATTCATTAAAGGACAATATGAGCTGAGTTTTTAAAGGGGTTTGATTTATCAAAAAAAAAAAAAATATATATATACATGTATATTCATAATTACTCTAAATATCAGCACAACAATGTTAAATCTGCAAATTTGCAGAAACAAATTTTTGTTCTTCCCTTGCCGGGATTTGAACTCATGCTATTTGGATATTGAGACAACACCGCCTGCACTGTGTCCAGCGCTCTAGACCACTCGGCCACCTAGACTGAACTATATAAATCAGCTTTCGGTGGTCTAGTGTTACCTTTCCTCGCCAGTAGAATCTAGAGTTGTTACACAGTACATGATATATCAAGCATGATGATGGAATTGATTGCAGATTAGCTAAATTATCTGTCCTAAAGGATCGTAAGATACAGTCACAGAAATAATTATTTTGATAAGTGCGTCTAAACAAGTGACAACTCTACGACAGATCCATCCATTGGATCACCATTACTAGTGATACACGGCTGAAAACACATATTATATTCATATGCAGTTCAAATCCATGCGAGGGAAGAACAAAAATTTGCTTCCGCAAATTTGTAGATTTAACATTGTTTGCTGATATTTAGAGTAATTATGAATATAATATGTGTTTTCAGCCGTGTATCACCTTTACTGGTGATCCAATGGATGGATCTGTCATAGAGTTGTCACTTATTTAGACATACTTATATATACATACAGAGTAACAAAATTTCGAAATTACATAATTTCTTCTCTGAAATTAGATTTGAGATAAAATTACATAATTTCTTCTCTGAAATTATATTTGATGGTATCTATTTTCAACTATGACTTTACTTATAATGTCTATTTATTGTGCAATACAGCTCTGAATTTGGATTGTGATTATATATTTAACATATCATAGTTTCTAACACAGATTTAATGTGGTCTAAGAACTTAAAAATTTGGAATTGGACATTTACCTATTATGGTCCAATATCCAAAAACTAAATACATGGTTAGAATCAGCATATCAAAGAACCCCAAGAACTCAATTTTTGTTAAAATCAAACAAAGTTTAATTTTGGACCCTTTGGACCTTAATGTGGATCAATTTGATAACTGGGCCCAAAATCCAGAATCTTAATACAAGGTTAGATTCAGCATAGCAAAGAACCCCATACATTCATTTTTTGTTGAAATCAAAGAGTTTTATTTTGGACCATCTTGAAAGCTGGGCCCAAAATCAAAAATCTAAATACACAGTAAGAATTAGCATATCAAAGAACCTGATGTATTCAATTTTGTTGAAATCAAACAAAGTTTAATTTTGGACTGTTAAAATCAAACTAAGTTTAATTTTTGACCCATGAGACCTTTATATGGGCTAATTCAAAAACAGGGCCAAAAATCCAAATTCTAAATACACGGTTAGATTCAGTATATTAAAGAACCCCAAGAATTCAAGACTTTAAATTAAACCCCAAAGAAATTGGTAAAGAAATAATCAATTTATACAAAGTATTTTTTTGACCCCTTTTTCCTAAACCTTTAGGGTCATAACCCCCAAAATCAATCCCAACTTTCCTTTTACGGTATGGAACCTTGTGATACAATTTCATAGTGATCCATGGACTTATACTCAAGTTATTGTCCAGAAACCAGAAAATCCTAGTTTTTTGGCCCCTTTTCGGTCCCTAATTCCTAACCAGCTAGGACAATAACCCCCAAATTCAATCCCAACCTTTTAATTGTGATATGGAACCATCTGCTTAAATTTCATAGACATCCATACACTTATACTCAAGTTATTGTCTGGAAACCAAAATGTCTTCGCACAACAAAGTTTTTGGCCCTTTATTCCTAAACAGCTAGGACAATAACCCCAAAAGTATCAATCCCAACCTTCCTTTTATGGTATGGAACCTTGTGCTACAATTTCATAGAGATCCATACACTTATACTCAAGTTATTGTCTGGAAACCAAAATGTCTTTGGACGTCAAAGGTTTTTGGACGACAAATATCTTCTGACAACGATGCAGACATCGCCATAACATAATTCGAACACAAAAATTGTGCGATCTTATAAAAATTGGAATTAAACAAATAACAATGAATCCACAGTATATGAAAAGAAGTCATTACTGTCATATATAAAGTATTCTTCTATCTATTTATAGTTTTTCAACTATTTTTGCAAGTATGAATGAAATTACTGAATAAAACATGTTTGAAAATGAGTTTTATTGTTTGATGTTAATAGTTAAAACAATAAATCTTGTCAAAAATTATACATATTTCTCTGTCAATAAACAGTAATTTTCTAGCTGTCAAATTTTAAGAGAAAAAACAAATGTAATTTACTGATGATGATTTAGAACTTGACATATTGTATAGACACCTGACTATTGTTGAAGACTATATTTTACATTGTAGATGTCTTTTGGTAATTTTTTTCAAAAATAAGCGAAAACTTGATACTGTATATATATATATATAGTAAGCTGTAAAAGGCCAGAAGGGCATAACAAGATGTGAAACAATTCAGAAAAAAAAACAACAGCCTGATAAATGCTATAATCACTAAACAAACAAACAATGCAGACAACAACCAACAACATCTATTAATATACAGGCTCCTGTATGTGTGAACATTGTGCAATTATATTATACACCTTAAACTATAGGCTCCTAGAGGTATGCATCACTTATCAGTTATAATGCATGCAAATGAGAGAAAATAGTTGTTAAAATAATCTTAGAATACATATATACCACAAAATTATACTGCAAATCAGAGGGAATACAGCTTAAAACGGCTTTTAATATTTTGTCATGTTGAACTTTACAAAAACTTAGCAATATTTTCAACACTACTTAAATGATATTTGTTTGTGAGTTGAATATTATGTATGTTTTGTGTATACGTATTGATTATACAAATGTGTCTATGTGTATATATTATGTCCTCCTGTACACCTGTGTGTCTGAGGTTTAATAATAAAGTATTGTTCATTGTATTAAATGTATAGGTATAATGGATGATAAGTAAATGAGATAACAACTCAATCTAATTATGCCTTTGATTAAGTACATGGTATTGAAATTTAATAAAGCAGGTTACCCTCAAATGATTATCCTTTTGCATTGCACTTGTTTAACAACTTATAATATGAATATAAATAATTTTTGTCCTCAAATACACAGAACCACTTACTTAGGAAGAGGTGTAACCTCACTAACTACTTTTTCACTGACTGCTTGAACTCCCTGACATACAAATACACTGTATAACTTACTTAGGAAGAGGTGTTATCTCACTAATGACTGTCTCAATGATCATTTGAAATCCCTGACACACAAATACACTGTATAACTTACTTCGGAAGAGATGTTATCTCACTAATGACTGTTTCACTGACTGTTTGAACTCCCTGACATACAAATACAGTGTATACCTTACTTAGGAAGAGGTGTAACCTCACTAATGACTGTTTCACTGACTGTTTGAACTCCCTGACATACAAATACAGTGTATACCTTACTTAGGAAGAGGTGTAACCTCACTAATGACTGTTTCACTGACTGTTTGAACTCCCTGACATACAAATACAGTGTATACCTTACTTAGGAAGAGGTGTAACCTCACTAATGACTAAAACTATTGTTTCACTAACTGTTTGAACTCCCTGACATACAAATACACTGTATAACTTACTTAGGAAGAGGTGTTATCTCACTAATGACTGTTTCACTGACCATTTGAACTCCTTGACATACAAATGCACTGGATATACCTTTCCATAATGCTGACATACCCTACAAATAGATATTATTAAATAATATGATTCATAGGCTTTACAAGCCATTCAACATAGCAAGTGTTTTTGTAGATGTAAACACACAATACTAAAATGAGTCTTAGGCTTTACAAGCCGTTCAACATATGAGAACATCCTTGGTTAGTGCAAATAACTTACTTCATTTAGGTCTACATGTTTCACCAACTTTTCTTCAAAAAGTAAAAGCATGAACACATATTTGAAGTATACATAATATGTGGTTCACCTAAAGAAATGTTACAATGACACCGTGAATCAAAATGAAGTTATTTATAGAACGGTAAACATTTTCTTGTTCTGTTTTTGTAAATGGTGTTGTTGGTGTCTTTCTATTTAACTCTGTATTTGGGTTGTCTACAGAGGTTTAGGAACTCCTCCAGATTTTAGTAGCAAGAATGTGTTTGTAATTTAAGGGGTATATCCTAGCTTGTTGTAGTGTAAATATTGATTTATAAGCCTGCTCTGGGGATCACACCAAAGACTTGTTCTATCTTCAGACATGTTAAAGGTATTCCTGTACATGTACTCGATGTTGATATATAAGCCTGCTCTGGGGATCACACCAAAGACTTGTTCTATCTCTAGACATGTCAAAGATATTCCTGTACATGTACTCGATGTTGATATATAAGCCTGCTCTGGGGATCACACCAAAGACTTGTTCTATCTCTAGACATGTCAAAGATATTCCTGTACATGTACTCGATGTTGATATATAAGCCTGCTCTGGGGATCACACCAAAGACTTGTTCTATCTCTAGACATGTCAAAGATATTCCTGTATGTGTACTCAATGTTGATTTATAAGCCTGCTCTGGGGATCACACCAAAGACTTGTTCTATCTTCAGACATGATAAAGGTATTCCTGTATGTGTACTCAATGTTGATTTATAAGCCTGCTCTGGGGATCACACCAAAGACTTGTTCTATCTTCAGACATGTTAAAGGTATTCCTGTACATGTACTCGATGTTGATATATAAGCCTGCTCTGGGGATCACACCAAAGACTTGTTCTATCTTCAGACATGTTAAAGGTATTCCTGTACATGTACTCGATGTTGATATATAAGCCTGCTCTGGGGATCACACCAAAGACTTGTTCTATCTCTAGACATGTCAAAGATATTCCTGTACATGTACTCGATGTTGATATATAAGCCTGCTCTGGGGATCACACCAAAGACTTGTTCTATCTTCAGACATGTCGAAGGTATTCCTGTATGTGTACTCAATGTTGATTTATAAGCCTGCTCTGGGGATCACACCAAAGACTTGTTCTATCTTCAGACATGATAAAGGTATTCCTGTATGTGTACTCAATGTTGATTTATAAGCCTGCTCTGGGGATCACACCAAAGACTTGTTCTATCTTCAGACATGTTAAAGGTATTCCTGTACATGTACTCGATGTTGATATATAAGCCTGCTCTGGGGATCACACCAAAGACTTGTTCTATCTCTAGACATGTCAAAGATATTCCTGTACATGTACTCGATGTTGATATATAAGCCTGCTCTGGGGATCACACCAAAGACTTGTTCTATCTTCAGACATGTCGAAGGTATTCCTGTATGTGTACTCAATGTTGATTTATAAGCCTGCTCTGGGGATCACACCAAAGACTTGTTCTATCTTCAGACATGATAAAGGTATTCCTGTATGTGTACTCAATGTTGATTTATAAGCCTGCTCTGGGGATCACACCAAAGACTTGTTCTATCTTCAGACATGTCGAAGGTATTCCTGTATGTGTACTCAATGTTGATTTATAAGCCTGCACTGGGGATCACACCAAAGACTTGTTCTATCTCTAGACATGTCAAAGATATTCCTGTACATGTACTCGATGTTGATATATAAGCCTGCTCTGGGGATCACACCAAAGACTTGTTCTATCTTCAGACATGTCGAAGGTATTCCTGTATGTGTACTCAATGTTGATTTATAAGCCTGCTCTGGGGATCACACCAAAGACTTGTTTTATCTTCAGACATGATAAAGGTATTCCTGTATGTGTACTCAATGTTGATTTATAAGCCTGCTCTGGGGATCACACCAAAGACTTGTTCTATCTTCAGACATGTCGAAGGTATTCCTGTATGTGTACTCAATGTTGATTTATAAGCCTGCTCTGGGGATCACACCAAAGACTTGTTCTATCTTCAGACATGATAAAGGTATTCCTGTTTGTGTACTCGATGACTTATAAGCCTGCTTTGGTGATCACACCAAAGACTGCATGTTTTTTCCCAGTCTTTCTTCATTCTAATAAAAACATTGAATCATTCACTTTTAGACACTAAAAATTGGTGGTACCCATACTGCTTAACATTAATTTACCTGTTGTTGTTGTAATTTGTACATAACAGGTAATAGGGTAAATGGAGTCAGATGATACCAGGTGGCAGTGTGATGTACCTGAAACATGGAGAAGCAGCCAAACTAATCAATATTTATCTTATTTGCTTATAAAAGTAACTTGGTACATGTTAGAGTACATACATGCAAATGTTATTAAAGGATGAAAACGTTACTTCACAAATTATGTCGTAGGTTATTAGTGCCTTAATGTGCCTGAAAAATATGTAACTTATTAAGAATATATCAAAATGAAAATGCTTTATTTTTGGTCAACTATTGTAAGTGTGGCCAATAAAGATAAATTTTGATATAATTTTAAGAGATTTTTTAAAATGAAGATCAACATAGTTGCCACCTGAATTAAAATACTTATGACTTGACACTGACATTTCATTATTTTATTGTTGTGTAGAACATAATTTTGTTTAGTAATTACCTCCTTTTATACCATTTCAAGTGTAAAATATAATTCTTTCAGATTTTTTCTTGGAAGACATGCCATGTACAATACATTGAGGCTTCAATAAAGCAGTTTAGTTTTATTATGCCATAAAAACACTAAAATCTTTTGAATATTATTGAATATTCTATCAATATATCTTTATTCTAACATAGCTGATGCAGATGGGAATGTTAAGTCACTCTGATTCCCTGGCTGGTGACCCTTGTAAACAGGTGAAACTTTTTTTCAGGATGTGGACCCTCAAAGTATTCAGTTGTCATACCTATTCATAAATTATTTTACATGTACATAAAATCAGCAATTAAAATTAAATGATAAAGATACATGTATAGATTGCACACATGGATGGAGGAACTAAGCACCTGCTTTGGACCACCTTAGTACCTGTATCATTGACATTTATCTCAAAACTTCTAAACATACAACTGTATCCTTAAATAAATTACTAGAAGGAGCCTAGCTATGAAGGTCTCACACATTGTAACATGCAAACATTAAAAAAATATTATAACATAGCTACTACTGTTCTGGCCCTTGGAGCATTCTTTAAAGTTTTTTTGAAAATGTGCAGCTTACCTGACATTGCCTCCTCAGTACTATACATGGATGTGCCAATATATGTTCTGCTAAAATTCCACTGAAACAACATATTGTAAACATTACACCAGGTCTGGAAAACCCTGACCAATAAACAGGGTATGGCTTATTCAAAATATACAGTTTGCACAGCATTCATGTATGTGTTATACCAAGCATTTAACTTGTAAATAATAAAAATAATATTTCTTGCACTTTTAAGAAAATTTAAAATAATTTGTGTAGGAAATATAATACATCTTAAAATAAGAAGGATTGTGAGCACTTGCTCACTATTAATGGTACATTGTACTCCCAGATACAAATACATGTATAAGAAAAAAATAAATTTAAAAAGTGATTGATATGAAAAGTCATCACACACATTGAAAGTCATGACAGTAAAGTACATGTAGTATGCTCACATGAAGCTTGATTAAAAGTCATCACACACTTTGACAGTCATGACAGTATAGCATGCTCACATGAAGGTTGATTAAAAGTCATCACACACTTTGACAGTCATGACAGTATAGCATGCTCACATGAAGGTTGATTAAAAGTCATCACACACTTTGAAAGTCATGACAGTAAAGTACATGTAGTATGCTCACATGAAGCTTGATTAAAAGTCATCACACACTTTGACAGTCATGACAGTATAGCATGCTCACATGAATTTGATTAAAAGTCATCACACACTTTGACAGTCATGACAGTATAGCATGCTCACATGAATTTGATTAAAAGTCATCACACACTTTTACAGTCATGACAGTATAGCATGCTCACATGAAGCTTGATTAAAAGTCATCACACACTTTGACAGTCATGACAGTATAGCATGCTCACATGAAGGTTGATTAAAAGTCATCACACACTTTGAAAGTCATGACAGTAAAGTACATGTAGTATGCTCACATGAAGCTTGATTAAAAGTCATCACACACTTTGACAATCATGACAGTATAGTATGCTCACATGAAGCTTGATTAAAAGTCATCACACACTTTGACAGTCATGACAGTATAGCATGCTCACATGAAGCTTGATTAAAAGTCATCACACACTTTGACAGTCATGACAGTATAGCATGCTCACATGAAGCTTGATTAAAAGTCATCACACACTTTGACAGTCATGACAGTATAGCATGCTCACATGAAGCTTGATTAAAAGTCATCACACACTTTGACAGTCATGACAGTATAGCATGCTCACATGAAGCTTGATTAAAAGTCATCACACACTTTGACAGACAGTCATGACAGTATAGCATGCTCACATAAAGCTTGATTAAAAGTCATCACACACTTTGACAGTCATGACAGTATAGCATGCTCACATGAAGCTTGATTAAAAGTCATCACACACTTTGACAGACAGTCATGAAAGTATAGTATGCTCACATGAAGCTTGATTAAAAGTCATCACACACTTTGACAGTCATGACAGTATAGCATGCTCACATGAAGCTTTTTTAAAAGTTATCACACACTTTGACAGTCATGACAGTATAGCATGCTCACATGAAGCTTGATTAAAAGTCATCACACACTTTGACAAACTGTCATGACAGTATAGTATGCTCACATGAAGCTTGATTAAAAGTCATCTCACGCTTTGACAGTCATGACAGTATAGTATGCTCACATGAAGCTTGATTCATAGTCATCATACACTTTGACAGTCTGTCAGTCATGATAGTATAGGATGCTCACTTGAAGCTTGATTAAAAAATTAGAAAGCTCTGATTTGTAGTTCTAGAGAAAAATGTGATGAAAAGTTTCATACATTGCTATTATGTGTAAGAATGTATATCTGTAAGTAAGTATTAAGTAAACAGAAATTTGATTTGTGATGACAATGCATCTTAAGATCTTTGTTTATTGTATTCATAGGATTCAGTATAAGAAAAATAAAATGTTATTTTAAACTGATTGACCTAAATCAGTTTTGATCCTTATTTAGAAAACAACCTGAATATATTTATGTTTTGTCTAATCTGTTTGTCCCAGTGTGTACATGTGGATTGGCCAGACAAATATAGTATTAATAAAAAAATTGTACTAACTCACCTTGAAATACCGATGGTCCATCCTGCAAAGGTCTGAACTTGATCTGAAACACAAAAATGCATCTTTTAATTCACAAGAAACAAATGAGAAAGGCTTCTCCCAAACTCTGATTGCATTTGAGTATTAAAATCATGATACAGAATTATTTTTTAACAGTGCAAACTAATTCAGTAAAACTGTCATCTTTTAGCTTCTTAAAGATCTGTTGTTTATTTCTGGATTACCTGCATGACTTTTTTAATCCACAATCAAGATAGTACTGACTTATTTTTCTGGGTGGTTCCTGAACTTGCTGTTGTTGTATAATTACTAGGTGAAAATTTGTTCTATCTCCCTAATCATCAAGATACAGCTTTGTAACCTTCATAGGTGTTCCACTTAATGCAAAATTTGGAAATTAGAATGATAATTTTCTATTAACTGTTTTCTGTCCTTTGAATGTGTTGATAATAATGTAAGAAAGCACTGATTTTATATACATGTAAGTAAAATCCTTACATTTTCACTACAACTTTTTACCCTATTAGTGAATTTTTAAATTTTTTCCTAACAAAAACCTATTAAAATAAATAGACTTTCCATACCAGCATAACCAGTGCTCCAAAATTATTTAGGCTTTAACCTTAATTTCATTTACAAAATTCTTGAATTTGAATAATTTGAAAGAGAGGTAGTTTAAAGTAAATTGTTTTAAACTATCAGTCAAAATGCAAGTCCTTATGTAGTAACATCTCAAGCTCTGTTGTTACCTTCAAACACATGTCAAAACACAGAAATTAGTCAGATAAATGAAAGAATGGAGAATGGAAACAGGGAATATGTCAAAGAGACAACAAATCGACCTAAGAGCAGAAAACAGCCCAATGCCAGCAACATGACCAATGGGTCTTTAACCCTCTTGCTGCCAGTTGTTTTTCAAGGTTGCATTTCGTGTGCCAGAAATATGACAGCTCGACGTCTGTGATATGTGACGTCACACTAACATGACCGTTACATTTGGGACCCATTGAAGAAAAATATTACACAGTTTAATATTTGGTCTTTTATTTGATAAAGACACAGCAATGAGGAGAAGCTTGCATAAATTAAAACATGGACATATGTGTCCCTCCGGCACAGTCGGTGTGGACACATGTGTCCCTCCGGCAGCAAGAGGGTTAATGCAGCAAGAAAATCCTACACCCAGAGGCTTCAGCTTCATATGATCTCTTATTCCCCACTTTATAAGCTATTTGTCCACCATTACTAGTCATTATTAGTGTAAAATTTTTATGATATAAAAGAAAATTTCTAATGAACAATGCAACGGTGAGTGTTGTATAACATCAACAGTTCATCAAGTGTCACAGATTCTGAAATAGAGATAAGGTCTTTTCCCTGCATTCATTGATTCACTTATTAATAAATTCTGATGAGGAGGTCCATTCAAATGATTTCAGTGATTAGACCTTACATGATTTACATGTAAATCCATCCTACCATGAAAATCCTTGGATAAACAATAGAAAAGACAAACGAGTTTAAAGAATCCTGGTCACACTCTGTAAAATTATGCCAGCTAGCCAACCTTGTTAGTGTTAGATAGTAGGGTACTCTCAGTTATATAGAAATGCACGTTACGATAACGGCTATATATAATGACCTGTACTAAGGTGGTCTGTTTGGTCTATGATGTACGTTAACACAAAATTATTGAGATGAAAGCGAAAATGAAAGTAGGGATTTATCTCCCTTAGTTATCATTCACCTGGCTGATCATCTGGTGGTCTATTATTCGACCATCTGTCGTGTGCTTCTTGTCTGTACGAAACGGGAGTTCCAGTGTGAAGTTGCGTTGGTCTATCCCTGTCCGTCTCTTCTTTATAAGATGTGTTTCTATTGAATGACCGGCCACTCATTTTGAAGGGTATTCCGTTACCAATGCATTGTGGTCAAGATTCCGATAACTACCGAACTGTTCCGTCAAATCCGATTGAAAGTGAAAGTACATTTTCAATTTTAAAATAGCAACTTGTCGCGATCATCCAGCCGCTTATTTTGTATCGGGGTGAAATCATTACGGGAAAAATTTTCGAATATTTTCTCTGTGATTTAAATGACAGAATATCGATGCACAGAATAAAGATATCATCCAATTACAGAAAAATTAATTGAAGTAAAATCATGTTCATGAGAATTTTATAGATAAAGAAAAAAAAAAAAAAACTTAAAAATTTTACAAAGAATACAAAAATTTAGGACCCCATCCAGACCATCATAAAAATATGGCTAAACAAAACCACAGGCGTTTTTTTTTTTTTAATGTTTTTTCAAAGAATATGAATAGAGGGGCGTCACATACAAACTACTGTTATATTTTAATATCGTATGGAATTAAGAGAAAGAACATATTAATTAAGTGAAAATAGGTTAGAATATTAAAGAATATTTACTAAAACAAATTAAAAAAAAAAATTAGAAAAAAGCCTGCGTTCTAAACACAACCGGTACATTTTCATGGTTCTCAAATGAAGAAAATATATCCAACACAAACATGTGAAATTATTATATTATATTACTTTCTTTGCGACCTGTATATAATATTTTTATATTTTTTTTTTTTGCATTGTGTATATATGTGTATTGTTCATATGCTATCAACCGAACGGGGTATAAAAGTGCATTTCTTTAAATAATAAATATATATTATTGTCAGTAACCGCTGTGTTGGGTCCTCTACTATTTCTTTTATATATTAAAGACATTACAGATAATCTCCATAACCTAGCCCGTTTATTTGCAGACGACACCTCTCTCTCATATTCTGGTAGCAACTTTCAAACAATTGAAAGTGATATTAATAAAGACCTTTTTAGTTTAAATGAATGGGCCAAAAAATGGTTGGTAGATTTTAATCCAAAGAAAACCAAAGCATTGGTGATTGCAAATGTTAAACCACCAGTAATGAATATTTTATTTAATGGTGAAAACGTTGAAACTGTTAAATGTCACAAGCATTTAAGGTGTCACACTTTCATCAGATGGAAACTGGACCAGCCATATAGATAATATTACAAAGTCTACATTAAAACAAGTAAATGTATACTAAGGAAACTAAAATTTACACTTTCCAAAAAAAGCTTATCCAATATCTATGTCACTTTTATAAGACCACTATTGGAATATGGATGCGAAGTATGGGCTGGGTGTTTTGAATATGAATCTAATAAACTAGAAAAAGTACAATTGGAAGCTGCAAGGATAGTAACAGGGCTTACAAAATTTTCAAGTTTAGAATCCTTATATTTTGAAACGGGCTGGGAAACTTTAGCAGAAAGGCGTAGACAACGAAAATTAACAATTTTCTATCAAATGCATAATAAATTTTGTCCCCAATATTTAATCGACTGTCTACCTCCAGTTACATCTGATGTCAGTGGATACAACCTAAGAAATAATGATAACTATATACCCCTAGATGTAGACTACGAATAACTGAGAAGTCATTCGTACCATCTACTGTCAGAATATGGAATAATTTAAATCCAACAATAAGAAACGCACCAACTATCCCACAATTTAAACGAAAAATAAAGGGTGAACTATTTAGACCTCCAACATATTATGGTGAAGGGCCTAGAAAATTTAACATACTGCATACAAGACTAAGGCACCAGTGCAGTTCATTAAATGCAGACTTAAATAAGATAAATGTAGTGAATGATTCTAAATGCTCCTGCGGTTCCCCTGTTGGAGATGCCATCCATTACTTTCTAGAATGTCAATTATATTATAACCAAAGAATATCTCTGATTAATGATCTTACAAATATGAACATACACATTGATATTGAAACGCTATTGTTTGGAAAAGATGCATATAATTACGAAACTAACTCTAAATTTTTTGATAAAGTTCGTTATTTCATTAAACAGTCAAAACGATTTTAACGTTCTAAGTCAGCAGCTTTCTTTTTTCTTTCTGTCCTATTTGCTTTTTTGTTGCCATGCAAATGTGTGACCCCTTCCTTTATTTTCTATAATTGTCGCTATATTATGTATGTGTTTGCTGTCATCATATATGTGTATTGTATATGTAAGGAGAGGACTTAATATAAGTTGTTCATGATAACTTGTGTCCAATCCTATTGCTTGATAAATGCAATAAAATATTATTAAATAAAAAGACCGCTGTGGATAGTAAATTATAGCAATTAATAATAAATAGTAAAAGTTGTTATTTATAGTAAATACTAACAGTTATACTATTCCCAGGTAAAAGTAGTCAAAGCAGGTTGGTTTTGTTGTTGGTAGAAAAACTGATTGGTAAGTATTCAGATTGTTTGGGAAGATTTTCATAATGACTCGGTTTAAACAAAGTGGGGCTAGTGCGTAAGCACTACACATAAAGTATAATATATTTTGAATAACCTAAGGTGGGCGACTTTGCAGTTTAATTTATGATGGGCGTTACTTTGCAAATTATTCTTAGTGAGGTTGAATGTGTGCCCATTGCGGGACATTCTTTATCATGTTATCGGTGAGCGAGTTGGCAGGTCTTTAATCAGAGAGATCATAAGTGAGTCAAACTTACCTTCAGCGGGCGGATTAATGTGTTTAGAACGCAGGCCATCCGTTCGCCTGTATTTTCTAGAACTCATTTTAGCGAAAAAATTACGTGGTTGGACAATCTCACCATACTAAAACCATGCACAGTAATTTATGCTGGCTTTACAATTTAGTTGCTTACATTTTCAATTTGGAAATCATGGAAATAAATGTCGTTGAAACAAACAGCTAGGGGAAAAAAGTGCAACATGTGATGGCTGACACACCCAGCTAATTACGTTTCTGGATACTATCATCAAATTTCAAACAACAACATTATATTAAATAAGAAGTATTGATGAACCTGCACCTCAATTTAGACAAGATAAAGAGAAGGAACATTCCTTATCACAATTTTATGAACATTCTTATACAGGAGGTATATCAAGAGCCCATTACTTAATTACGTTAACTGGGACATTAATTGACAACTAAACATTTGAGTTAACTTTTAAGACTTTTAGTGTTGCCATTTTATGGACATGATATTTTTTATAGTTTGTGTCTTGAAACTATTAGAATGTATTACTCTCCGTTAAATAAGTTACTGTTGCTAAAATGGGAATTGATAATTTCATTTTTCACTTAAATGGGTAAAAAATCTGGCGCTAAAATGGGCTATACTTTGTCGATAAAACGTCCGGTTTTTTTTCTCGCTAACATGTCCTCCGTCGCCATCAGCCTTCAGCTCCACTTTAGGAAAAGCAGCATATATGTACTTAAACAAATGAGCCTGCGCTCAATAATGAGCTCACCTATCTATTCATGCCCCTGATATAATCTTCATCTTTAAACAGAGTGAGTGAGCATAGTCTGAACATTGCGACAGAAAGGCTCAAAGTCCCTTTGACATCTTTACCATTTTGAAATGCTTGATTTACTGCTAAGAATTATTGAAACTTGATGCCGATAACAATTCATAAATGTGGTGCATCCGAAGCGCTTCTTTGAATTTCTGAATTCATCATGCACGCTCGAACCCAAACATTTGAAAGCCGTGAATGTGTAATACTTGAATACGCAAGGAACTATTAAATAAATCACATGGGACTGCAAAAATCCGGATTGAATCCAAATCCCATGGGATTATGCAACATGGGATTTTACATATGGGACTACAAAATACCATGTTTTTTTAATTCAAATTGCAAAAGAACTTTATAGTCTACAGTTTTAAAACTGGGTATTTAATGAATCCCATGTTATTCTGTACATCAGAATAGCCAAATCCACATAAGGTCAACTTTGCACGAGGGAGTTGGAACTAACTTCATTAACTTTCCAGTCATTTTTTTTGACAAATTACCAACGTGATAATATTGAATTAAAAAGAATAACACTTTCAAGTTTAATAGGTTATTAATATCATGCCATATCAATAGTAATGAAAATGAAATTAACGTGCTATTTAGTCGTGATTGTGGCTTCTATTGTAGAAATTACACACTTTTATCGCTTATTTATGGCATGGCATTCTCAAATCTAACCCCAAAAAGTCAAAGTTTTAAAATTAATGATGCAAGGTCAATTAACTAACCGTATTTATATTTTGCACAGTTTGAAAAACAGGAAGTCACAGTTAACTACTTTGCAACTTAACATTTTGGTTTTGATGGTTTACCAAGCATGCTAATTCATTTACATTTCAAAAGTTTGCATAACATCTGTATATGTACAATTAACCCGTTTATATTTCTGTTATAGGTCAAATTCAGGTCTAAAAATCTTTAAATTTTTTTAATTTCATATCTATACGATATATATAAAACAATTCAAACGAGACTGAAAACTAACGGCCTGATTTATGTACAAAATGATGAACGAAAAACAAATATGATATACTGCAACAAACGACAACCACTGAATTACAGGCTCCTGACTTGGGACAGGCACATACAGAATGTGGCTGGGTTAAACTAGTTAAGACTGTTATTTTAGGAAAACCATTGAAATGAGAATGAAATGGATATATGAGCAAGACATCTTGGATCTTTTGATCAAAATTAAATCTTCTATGATGTTTTGCAGTATGTGCATTTTTCTTTTCAATCAGTTTGTCCCAAATCGACATTCACGACACTGATTGTAAGGTTTCAGATTCGATGTTACATAAACCTGCATATTATTATAGTGCTCTTTTTTATGTAAAATACTTGCAATGAATTAAATCGCTTCTATATATTGTGACACCTGAATTATCGCGATACATTACTCCATTCTGTTAAAGATTTCATATGATTCCTTTCTTTTGCGTTCACCTTTTCAAAAGCAGACAAAGTTCATTAAAACAAATCAACATTTGAAGAAAAAAAATATCTTAACAATTTATGATCACTGCTCTTTCCGTTTGCAACTGTTTTTCATTTCTCTATAGCTAACGAATGCAGTCAAATTAAATTTCATAAAATGAAAATGAAATCATGGAAGGCTGACCAGCCGCTAATCCTTTCTGTTAAAAAAAAAATAAATATTGGTAGGACACAAAAAACCCCGAAGACGACAAGTAAAAATCCCATATACCCTAAACGATGATTACTATACATTGAGTATATTGTAATAAACACGAGCTTTTATAAGTTTCTTGCATTCGTCCGCGACTCGGATACTTATTAATCATCCATTTTAGCACAACGTTAATTATACAGTTATATAAATTCAAACGGAACATATAGCTGCTAAATATAGATACTTACAAACAGACAGACAGACAGACAGACAGACATAAAAAAAAATCATTCTGTTCAAGAAATGCACTCACCGTCTCAAAATGTTTCTGCCTTTGATTTCACAATACACGTAACTTTTGTCTGACATTGATGTTATGTATATGATTACCTCGTCGTAAATTCTAAAGTGAATGAGGCGGAAGTTACCAAGGGTACACCAAAACCCCATCAAAACAGGGGGTAATCTCAGGTGCTACGGTGATTTAAAATTACCATTCTTTTGTAAAGGTAGCATTCTCTTTTGTATTGAATCCAAGCCCTCAGTAAGGTTTGGCTCTATCCGAAATAGCAGAGCATGCAAGGAAATTTCGTTCGTTATTCATCAAGTTCGGAACCTGTATTGAACAGATTGGGGACTGCCATCCAAATTTTTTCATGTGTACAACGAACTAAAACATACACACCGAGTCTTTGCCGATATACAGCAACACCTAACAATTATTTAATATGTACAAAAATGATACAATCTAACAACATGTCCTCTGTACCGAACAGTCTGTCACTATCCGACAGTGCACGGCTGGTACAGTCTGTCCTCCCAGTGGCAGATATTATCTAAAAAAAAATTTGCAAAAGGCCTCCCTTACACATTTCTAATGGAAAGAAGACTCGCTTTTGAGATGCTATAAAGCGTATTTAGTTTCCTATGCATGTGCTATGATATATAATTAATACATTTTATTTGCAATTGGCTGTTTGATGTTTTGACCACGTTAAATGTTTTGAAATTGACGATAACCACAGTAGGTATAGTGTCCGGCTGGGATCGTGTTTTTTCGAGTGATTTGATCGGGGTATTTTCGAGTGTGACCATGTTTTTTCGAGTGAATATATGCTTAAAAAATGTAAACAAACAGACTTCTTTTTTGTAAGGCGTGAAATAGATGCTTAAACTTAATATCCAAGATCATACAAGGTAAGTTAGTATTGGTGATAAAAAGAAATCATCACCCTTACATTATTTTGTGTTCTAAAAGTTTAATTTAGCTTTATAATGCTTTTATTTCTAAATATAGAAGAAAACTATTTTTATATAAGTACCAATGCAAATTTCAAAGGAAATGTATACTTGGAATCTATACAGACACTTTATAAAAATTCTTGTTATTACTTTGAGAAGGAAAATTTTAGAATAAATTCATTCTATATGTCCGTGTTTTTTCGAGAGCAGTCCGGGTTTTTTGAGTGCGGTCTAGGTTTTGATCGGGTGATTAAACAAAATTTCAATGGCTCAAAATCTTATATGTCTGTGCGATTACGTTTGAAAAACAATGAAAAGGTTCAAATAAAGTACTTTTTAAAGCACGAAACCTATGCATTTAACCAGTTTGATAATACTGTAGTACGTAACACGTACATTCGTAAAAAGCATCGTATATTGGTATATTCACCGGCATTGGTATATTGGGATATATCAAACCTGTCCACGCCCATGTAAATATGGTGGAACTATCCAACAAGTTAACGCCCAGGTACACGTGTTGTATCGATCCAAGCATACGCATATCGATGTCGATTCAACCAAATATGGATATCATACAGTAAATATTCGTGTTACAAACAATATTTATGTGAGCACAGACTGTTTATAAAGAAAAGAAAATGTGGTATGAATGCCAATGAGACAACTATCCACAATAGTTCAAATGACGAAGATAAAAGTAGATGTGGGCCACTGTACGGCCTTCAACAATGAGAAAATCCTATGCCTTATAGTCAGCTCTAGCAGACCCCAACATAACAAAATTGAAACAATTAAAACGAGAAAATTAACGACATAAGTTATATAATACAAAGTACGAAAACAAAAAAATATGACGGACATGAACCAACGACAACCACTGAATTACAGGCACTTGACTTGGGACAGGCATATAAAGATTGTGGCGGGGTTAAACATGTTTGTAAGCCATCAACCCTCCCCTAACCTTGGGCAGTAGTGTTACAGCACAAATTAAGAACAAACTGTAAAAATCAGTTACAAATTCGGTACGAAGCACAGACAAACCAACTAACATAAAAATAATAGATACAAAGTATCGATATAAGAGTACTTGCGGTTACTGAAAAGCTAGTTCAAAGCCAGTTACAAATGATAGATAAATCATGTTTTCCCAGAATAAAGTATCAAGCAGTAATATGTTGGATTGAGACGTACGTACATTGTGTGTGTTAAGCGGGTAAGTGCATTTAACAGAAAATACATCCTAGATGTTTCATTTACTATTTGTCTTGATGATAATTTGTTTTATAGTTCCATGAATGGAAAACAAGATCGATTTTCAAATGCTACTTCTGTAGTGCGGAGTATGATCTAGCGTATGTTATACTTGATCACAAAGCAATAAAACATCAGTTAGCAGTGTTTAAAAAAAAATGAAAAATACGGATCTCTATCTAGACATTACAATTACAAATGTATATCTATTGAACTCTGCGAAAGACATGAATTAAATACACGAGGTGTACGCTATTGTATACATATTTTTCTTATTATTATTTCAAAAGGATCATATAAAAGCTTATAGATTAATTATAATATTGTTTAATATATGCATGTATTCCATTCAATTCAAAATATTTTGTCAATAGGAAATAATACATGGGCGGATTAATTGAATTTTTTTTTTTTTTTTTTTTTTAGGGGGGGGGGGGGGGGGGGGTGGGCTTGGCTGATCACCGGCCGCTCTTAGAAGAATATTTGTGGTATATTGCATTTTACTGAATTTCTAACTTCTGTCCCTTTGTTTTCTTAATCCTATTTTAAAACTCCATGTTTCGCCACTGTGATATATATAAATCATAAACTATTATTTACTGTAAAAAATATTGTTGCATGAAATGATATTGAAAAAATTATGAGTCCCCTGTTCTCGGTTCTATAAAGAATCCAGTAATTTCTAATATATCTTGATACTGCAAGGTTATGGTAAAACGATTTCAGAACAGAAAATTATCATTAAATTGAAAAGGGTTAAATTTGATGAACATAGTAATTTAACATGTTTTGTTACTTATTAGGAATATATAATATTGCTCTTCGCTAAATTACAGTTACAAACTAGAAAAAGTTCGTTTTCAAGCGTAAGAATGCCTTCTTTCTTATTCACATTTTTTTTGAAAAACCCGGACCATTTGTTTAAAAACCCGGACGTTTTAAATCTTGCTCTCGAAAAACCTAATCTTAGATATATAAGTCTCAGAAACCTTTTCGGCCTGCTTTTCAATATAATAATTATGATTAGTAATTATGAATACTCTAGAAGATGTCAATGACATTCTAACTCACGTATTTTGTTAATTTACTGACATAAGCAACACTTTTCATATCAACAATTTATTTCACAGGTATCACGTCAATTACAAATATTTCAAACGTTCATTACTCATACAGTAAATACAAAAATCAAACAAGTCAAATTCTTTCACACGGCTTAGCTCATTTACACTATACACTATAACGAAAACCATCCAAACATCTTACTCGATCATGCTCATACAATATTGACACTTTTAGTTTTTCATTTATTCTTTTACAGAAAAAAACAAATGAAATTTGCATAAAGGTATCCAGGCCTATTTTTTCATATAGAATAAAACCGATTTATCAAAGATATGACTTATCTAGAATGAAATTAACATATTTTTAAGATTACAATGTGTTTGAGTTCGTTTTCTTTTCTGAAAAAGAATTTAAACATGGATTCATGTACCGACATTAACGCATTCACAATGGGAAGGTACTTCAACGGCAGCAAATGTTACTGGAGGATAATGTGGTAAATGGTCATCCCAAATCAGTAACCATTGGTGACGATACATCTGTACACATGTATTTCTACCACACGTTGCATTTTCTCTGAAATTAAACAAACTATTTTCAAGCAGATGAAAGTTTACAGAACAAACTGTGTAAACCTAGTAAACATGAATACTTCTAAACACCGGAGCTTATTATGATATCATCTCGGATAGTTTATTTCAATTTTCTAGAACTATGATACGCTATATTCTGAATGAATCAATTTCCAGAAGGCCGGCACGATTTCATACAAGTGTATAAGAGTGCAGACCGGCATGATTTGATACCAGTATATAAGAGTGCAGGCCGGCATGATTTCATACCAGTATATAAGAGTACAGGCCGGCATGATTCCATACTAGTATATAAGAGTGCAGGCCCTCATGACGTCATACCAGTATATGTTTTGTACTTTGAACTAGCTTTTAGTAAATAAGAGCCTTCTTTGGTACGATATAATACTATTTCTTGTTCTTAGTTGGTACTGGTTTTAATATTTTATCTCTTATATAAATTATTTGAATCAGACTTATCACAGAGTTTGTACTTGTATAGACAACACGACGGGTGTCACGTGTGGAGCAGGATCTGTTTATCCTTCCGGAGCACTTGAGATGACCCCAGTGTTTGGTATAGTGTTCGTGTTGCTCAGTCTTTATATTTCTATGTTTTGTTTTGTATACTGTTGTTTGTCTTTTGATGGTTGTTGCCATTGTGTTGTCTGTTTGTCGTCAACTTACTCAACGCCACCGTTATTTCAAGTGTGTATGTTGCCTATTCAGGAACCTCGTCCGTGGTTGTCTTTTGTTATATCTTAACGTGCTTTGTTAGTGGAACAATTTGGTGTAAGTGACAGATCTTTTATAGTTTCTTGTTTAACTTCAATAGCTTTGAACGATTTAGAGCTTGACTATTGTGTATGAATATGTGTATTGTTGAAGGCCAAATGTTGACCTCTAGATGTTTTGGGTCGTTGCGTTGCTATTTCACTGACGAATACCACACATCTCTATATTTTCGTACTTATTTTTGTACTATTACTACAAAATACTTCAAAGAGCTTTAAAACAAGTGTCCATTGCTTTTTTACTCATTCACTAGACATTGACAGATACAATGTAATTAACGTGCAATCATAATAGAATGAAGCTAAGATATACAAGTTAAAACAGACATTCTGCTAATGTCAGTTTTAGTATACTTACGGACATTTTCCAGTAGGGACAAACTGGAAAGCATTCTCAAAATGCACGACCTTCAAATTTCTTTTGTTGGATACAGTTGTGTTTATTACTTCATATGCGAACTCCCTATAAATACAAAACAACTATTTGTAAATACAAAACGGTATAAATCTATTTTTAGTAACTCAAAACTAAAATCTACCTGCTTGTGTGGTACATGTTCACAGGCTTTTTGACATGTCATACAGTATCTTGAAAAGGTTTCATTCTTATTAATCAAAAGATTTAAGTGACGTAGGCAACGACGAAAATAACTTCGAAATCAGTTCAAGAAATCTATTAATTGCTAACTCTAAAATGAAATGAATTCAAAGGTTGATAGTGTATATTTTGATCCCCAACACTTTTCAAAAATATATTTTGATACTAAAGAAGAAAGTATATTGGGAATATTTAACTGCAACATTCATTACCGTATGAATAAAAGTAAATATAATATCACAGCAAACCAACAACATAAATGCACCAAAAACAGACACAGCACTGGTTTCCGGGAAAAAAGGAGCAGTATGGTGTGGTTAAACTGTCAGTGTGTGTACTCTATCGTTCTTTATTTTATTGAAAAGTATTTGTCTTGATAATATCGAAATTATAAAAGGCTACACTACAGAAACATGAAGATAACACTATTTTTACCAGCAGTGGACATCTGATGCCAAAGAATACTTGTAATTACTAAATGCAAGCAAGCCTTTTGATGTTGAAATCAAGCAGTCTTTATTTATCGCAATGCCGACAAAATATCCTTTAAATAAAATTCATAAAGCAATGCCATTAAAGGTGCAAGAGAACATCTGTTGCCATAACCAATGTAAATATTCCATAAACAGAAAGAAAAGAAAACAGATAAAAGGTTAAATAACAACTCAATATATATTCTTAGAAGGAAATAGGCTATGCCAACTTGTCTTTTGTAGAATTCTGATAAAACTAAGTAAAGAATTTGACAAGGTTAGGATATGAAATTTATTCTTTTCTGCAATGAGAATTTTGCTTTCATCGTGTTGCTAATTGTCAAAACCAAATAAAATCTTTAACATAAAGTCTATTGCTTGTTCGTGAACGATGCCGACCAGTCTATGCTGTTCATCCTTAGTGTCACGTGCTTAGCGGAGAAGCAGAAAATAACAATTTTAAAGTCTCTGGTTTGACCCGGCCGGGGTTCGAACACACGACTTCCCGCACTCGAGGCGAGCTCGAGACCACCGAGGCGGTCTTAATTAGATCGAATCAACCAACTGAAAATTAAAAAAAAACGGCCAGTGAGAGGAGCCAACGAAACATCTCTATTCGGGAAAGGAGAATATTTACATCGGTTAACGCTTTTGGTAAACGCTGCTAAAATAGTTATAAAATTAAATTACCGTTTTGGGTATATATTTGGTTGGTTGAACCAGATAATCCTTAATCCTATCGTAAACAAAACATGCTTTTAAAAAATGAAAAACCCTTTTTTTACATGAATTCTGGGTCAGTAAATGTAGTGAATACTTTGTAGTTATGCAATATGTTTAAACCAAATATCTAACAAATCCGAAGTAAAATCTTCAGTACAGATGGAACTAGTTTAATCAATTTTCACTTGAATGACGAAAAAATCCAACACCGATTCCTAACAATGTGCGTGTGTTTTGTGAGACGGAATTGCATGTATAACATGAGCATACCATGTACTCATGAACATTGCTTTAATTACGCATGTTAGTTTTCCATTATGTTTTAGAATATATGCAGATGAAGAAACTTAAATTAAGTAGGTGTTTAACTGAAACAAACGTCAATCGTCTCTAGTTAAGGTATATCGGTAGGTATATTGGAATGTTACTTTCAATTAAAATTTTATATAGTCGTTGATACAAAGTAATCTAATACAAGGTAAATTAAATTGTTAAATGTGTATTTTTTAAATATGCAAATGGAAGTGTACTTTGATAGATTTTCATATTTTTTACACGAATATTTACATATATTAATAAAGTCATTTCTAAAACGATTTATGCCTTTGTATTTGATATAATATATTATCGCAAACATACATAAATTAATAACGTACTTTTTAAACAATTTATACATTTGGAATTAGTATAATAGTTAAGAGTATACATGGTAGTAAATTTTACTTATACATATCGTTGTCCATTTAATGTCGTCCCAATTAGGAGCATTCTTCCAGCATTAGAAAAATATTATATATCTATATGCACATAGTTTTATGCACATTGCAAATTAAAACTGACAGCAACTTGCTTTTTTTTTTTTAGAAAAGTGTAGAAAGACTTACGTTTGGCAACATGAATCAAGCACAGTTTTGCTGTTTGGAATAATATTTCCAACATAACTTGTTTCATGAGTTCGTCGTGTACCTTCAGGTTTGATGACAGGTAATTTTGTAAGATCATTGGAATTGATCAACAGTCCTGGAAACATAGTTCTGACAATTTCACTCATGGGTTTAGGTGTTGATGTTGAATGATCGGAATGATCGTGATGATCCGAACAGTTACAGTTTGGTTTCTTCCACCATCCGTGATGCTTTCTCCACCATCCCTGATGAGAACAGTATGAAATGCCATACACACAGCTTAATACCAGCAACAGTAATCTCTGGTAATGCGCCATGTTGTAGGTCCTAGAAGTAGATCATAACATACCATAATTCAAGGGTATTTTATAGGAAAACACCACTAAATTAACATTTTGACATTAAAAAAAATAAATAAAAACAAAAGTTTAAGATAAAATCAATGCTAAACTATGCAAATATATAAGATTTGATTAACTATATGCGGTTTTGGTCTTTAAATAAATGAATTGAAAATGAAATTGAGGATATCGTAATATTACAAACATAATATAACAATGACGGAATTGTAAAAAAGGATCCCTTGAGGTATTTTAAAAGTCCAAACGTAACGGATATAAGAAAGAAAGAGTGGGGCTAAATTTAAAGTTAGTCGACCACCTTTGCAAACTCAAGAAAACAAAAGACCTTATGAGTACTGACATTTTTATTTAATGTTCAAGTTAACATTTCCCGTCTGTGTGTTTATTTTTGAAGTCGCAAGGGTTATGTTATGAATGGATACAAGACACACATTAATAAACTCCCATTCAGTATTTATGTCAAAAATTTCATTGTTTAACAAAGAATTATTTATTTCTTGTCAGTATCTATATCATATAGAAGTTAATGGCTTGTATGTCTCTTTTTACCTGTGGTGTATCTTTCCGCCTGTAAAAGTACAGACTTGCAATTTTTCATTTTTTTTTTCAAATTGAAAATACATCAATATAGAAGATGTGGTTTTAAAACAATGATTGGTCTTGATATGTCAAAATATCTATAAAAATGTAAACCAGCACGACTGCTTTATAATGATGACAAGGCAAGTAAATAAAGGCAGATTGTAAATACACATTTAGAAGTAGTGACAATATACCCCGGGGATTTTCAATATGAAAAGGAAAGGTTACTATAATGAAGTCAGGTCACATTAGTGCAGAATTGTTATTTGAGATATCAATTTTGTGTCACAAAACTGTCATTGTTGTTATCAGATATGACCAATTTATATGAAACCATCGGTAGAATTAATCATGCGCAACAACCTTAGCCGAAAGGATATTTGATTAATATCAATCTCATATTGTATATATAATACATCTTGCGGCAAACAAGTTGTTGCCCACATCTGAATATCAGTCACGGCAAGATATTAGACTTTTGGTAGTTTTAATAGTATTTCCTGCAAATGCAAAGATTTTGAAGCCCCCGAGCAAAGCTAATGTGCGATATAATTAAAGCATAGTTTTATTGATAATTGACAGACTTATTTATTTAATTCATAATTAATGTTATTCAAAAGACTCTGGTGGAGAGTGGTTTCAATGGCAATTATACAACATCTTATTTTTATATCATATTCACTTTTAATTTTTGAATTCAAGAAGTTATATAAGCGGCCTTATGATATTTTCGTTTTGCTTCAAAAACTTAAATTTAAACTTCTTAAGGTCTTATTTCATTATATATCACTTTAAGTTGTATAGCCTTATGTGGTAATAGATACGAAGCGTTCGGCTTTGAGAAATTCTGGAGACGGTTTATCCAAAAAAAAAAAGTACTTTTAACACAATCAAACCAAAACACTCGATTAATTTCAGAGTACTGTTTAATAGATATATATACACTATAAAAATAAGGGCATGTGATATGATTGCAAATGGGACAACTTTACACTAGATACCGAAGGATGATAATGAAAAGAACTATAGGACACGTTATGGCTTCCAACAATGAGCAAAACCCATACCATATAGTAAGCTATAATAGTGTCCGGTATGACCCCTAAAAAATGAAACAGTTCAAAAGAGAAAACCAAAGGCATAATTTATACTAAAAACAGCAAACGAAAAACAAATCAGTCAGACAACAACCAACGACAACCACTGAATTACAGGCTTCTGACTTGGGACAAGCACACACATAATGTGGAGGTTTTAAACATGTTTGTGAGCGTTCAACCCTCTCCGTACCTGGGACAGTGGTGTAACGGCACAACATAATAACAAACTGTAACAATCAGTTGGAAAAAGCTTGACTCATCAGATCGATACTAAGCGTACAAAAACCTCTGACCAGAATACAAAATACACAAGGTACCGATCTAAGAGTACTCACAGCTACTGAAAACGAGTTCAAAGACTTTTCCAACTAAATAAATACACCCTGTTTTTCCAAACTGAAGTTAGTACACCTCCATTGGATTTAGTGTAAAGACGTCATAAACAGTTCGAGAAAAGCACGACCTTGTCAAAGCCAAATATACGTATCTACAGGATGTAGGACCAAAAGTGTTCATCACAGTATACAGCCATACATATATTTAGTTATGTTTTAATCGTTTAAAAACAAAATCAATGTTAATACCGATTATGACAATGACATGATATAATAGGCATGAAGATGGAATTGATTGCAGATAAGCTAAATTATCTATCGTAAAGGAGCGTAAGATGCAGTCACAGAAATAATTATTTGATATATATATATATAATTCGTCTAAACAACAGCCCATCAATGTTAGATCTGTAAATTTGTGGAAGCAAATTTTTTGTTCTTCTCTGGCCGGGATTCGAACTCATGCATATATATATATATATGTAATCAGTATACAGGTAAGTGTTGGCTATGCATAGAACATGTTACTGGGGTCGTAGTTAAAAAAGAATAGACCCAACAAAACAATCTGCCGACCAAAGAGTTCCATCGGTCATAAAACTTTACTCAGTAATCGGAGTACAAAAGCGCTTGAAACACTAAATCCAGCATTTTGGTTGCATTCTGAGTCCGAGTAGGATAATTGTACTCCAAGTTTTTATGATCGCAAGGCCTGATTCTTGTAAAGGAAAGCTAATTAAGTCAGATAACATACATAGAAAAGAACAAATGCTGATACATTCTGAATAAAAACCATCAACTTCTTTTTAGAGCTTTTGTAGCTTGTTAAATAAGTTTAAGTTAAGCACCCAATTATGCTCTATTCTTTATTTTTTTGGCCTATTTTTCTCTATTATTTACTTTTTTAAGCCCTTTATTCTGTTCATGTTACCAATTATTCTCCATTCTTTGGACCCCATTCAGACCCTCATAGATATAGATTTGTTGGATATCTTCACATGACCAGGGTGTGCCGTGTATGTGTGGCTGTTCTATTCCCCCTGTAATTAAGATAATGCTAAAAATTTCCAATAAATCTATGGATTGTATGAATTTCTTAAATAACCTCTAGAAAAAATGTGCCTATTCCTTACAATTCTCAACCCCAACATTTGAAATTTTTTATTTTCATTTATTTCGGCACACTTATTTTCGTTTCAATTCTTTTAATTACAGTCTTTGTCCTATTAAAATCGAAATTATTCCTACAAATAATAGATTTGTTATCATTTTCACATGGCCTGAATCGTTATTTTCGCCAATTTAATTCGAATATAATGAACACCCCGTGCCATGTGAAAATGATAAAAAAAAATCTATGACTTGTATGAAGTATTGCGATTCTAATAGGACAAAGATGGTAAGATAAGTGTGCCGTGTTAGTAACACGGCTGTTCTATTTTACCCTGTAAGATAAAGGTAAACATTTCTAATAAATCTACGGAGTGTATGAATTTCTTAAATAACCTCTAGAAAAAAATGTGCTTACTCTGCATAATTCTCAACCCCAACATTTGCAATTTTTGATTAACAGTTTTTTTCTTTCGTTGGCTGCTATATCTATTTACCGTAAAATCCAGTATATTTGACATGTCGCAACTGAGGAGAGACTTGCTGAAATACATTAATGTGCGAACAGTGAAATAGAATTGAAAATGAAACAACACCTACCTCAAAACTTAATTTGATATTATCCGAATTTGGAACGTACAAGTAACGGACTTTCAGCATGAAATTATTCATTCGTATAAGTCATGTTTTTGACAAGATCCTCATTTCGAGGAATTTTACTTTATTTTGATTTTATACATTTTGTCTAAGCTCTAATGCATTTATTTATTTTTATTTTACATTGTAATAGGAATAGCAGTCATTGTGTAGGTTTTAGACAATGGTGTTTGCACATATGTTACGATACATGTGGATTTACGTGGGAGGTAAACTGTAACAGCCATATATATGAGTCTACGCTAAATATAGAAATCTGCTTGTTATACAAAATGTACGGTACATAAAGGTTATATAATACCAAAACAATCTGATCAAAGCAATATTTATACACTTCATACAACGTATGCAGTTTTTCTTTGAATGCATCTTAACATGATATCATCTCATCTTCAAATTCCAATCAATGTTTTACTCTTTCCTCCACAAAGTACTTTTCAAAATTACCTTCATTTAAGGTAGCACAATACAAAAACAACTAAATTTTATCAAAATTTCATTTTCAGCTGTTTTTGTTACTCCTTAAAATTCCAAACCACAGAAGAAATACCATATCTTGCACTGTTAATGAGTTTTGATGATAATTAGTTTTATAAACAAATGCACGTGTTTGACTGATACAAGATAAGAACATGTGGGCAGTAGTTTGTGGTTAATCAATAGAATCATTTGACAGCTTTATGACAACTAACCAGCAATACAAATAACAGTTATGAAAAAGAGGTGGATTAGGGATTTATGGAAAAAAAGAAGATAATGAATTACAAATAAAAATACATTTCTATATTGGAGCTGCCAGGAGAAAAAAACAAGACAACTATTTGGAGATATAGAGGGAATCAAAATATAAATGTACAGGTATTAAACAAATATAAATGTACAGATATTAAACAAATATAATTGTACAACAATTAATGTTGCTGGTAGTTATATTTGAATTTGTTGAGGAGAATGTTTAAATACGAATTCTTTTTTAAAAGAAAACACAAATTAAATATTTCATTTTCAAACTACAAAAATGAAAAAAAATCTACTTTGTGTAAAACACCATACTGTCATTATATACAATTATAATTCTAGAAATCCCCCATAAGAATCCTCTAGACTGACCAACTGATCATTTTGTGTTCACACGCATAACTTACTTTTTGTGAAAATGTTAAAAACAAAATATA